GGAATGGATTCTGGAATTGGTCATCTCACAGTATGTGTATCTACCCTGTTCTTACTCAACTGCGTTTAATTTAGAATTATGTTTCTGGGCACTTTTGATACATTATGCTGGGAATCTGCGACTGATTTCATTGTTATATTGGTTATTCTAATGTTCGTTTTTTTTTTTTTTTACAGAAGTATTAAGTTGTAACATTTATATTGAATTTTGTACGTTGTCCATTGAGGTAAACTTCCATGTGTTTTTTTGCATGCCCAAATTTGTTCTGCTTCTCAATGGAAATTCAAAACCCCTTTTTATGTCAATATTTAATTTTTAGCAAGGGGCTGTTACACATAGGAAGATGATCTAGACTGGGTTTAGTTCGAAAACCATTTTTCTTCTCTTTTCTGGTTTAGCTATTCGCTCATGGCTCCAGCCTGCCAAGGTTGAGGAGATCTAATCTTTCAGATAAGAAGACATTAGAGGAATATATACTTGTCTTTAATTATTAATTAAGACTGGTCTGGACTTGTCACGACGGGGAAGAGGTTTTCTTTCATGGTATTTGGAAAACATAGACAGGCCCGAATACCATGAAAGAAAACCTCTTGTAATAACATTCCCCTATATTGACTATTTTGTGTTCTTCTTCAAAAACCAAAAGAAACATAAATTTCCGAAGCTTTGATGTTTTTGAATGAATTTGGCTTATGCATAAATTGGATTTATTTGATCTCAATGTCTCATTGTCTCCTAATTTACAGCGGCCATTGATGACAGGTTGTTAGGGACAGCAGTTTTCAAGCAGCAGATGCTTTTTTGTTGTGACAACAGATGGTCGTAAGGAAGATTTTTTGTACAGAAAATGCCTGGAGAATTACATTAAGGAAAAGTATGCTGATGTTGCCGAACATTCATAGGCAAGTATTTTACTATGAGTCTAGGAGAGGACGGAATCGGGAGCTAAACCCCACTCCAAGTCAATACCCCATTCCAGAACAGACTCCATGTCAAACTCCCATTGCAGAGCAAATTATAAGTCAAACCCCCATTTTGGAGTAAACTGGGTCCGAGGAAACAGTAGGGCATATGGCTATTTCCTGGGCATCGGTCTTTTTGAGATTCTGATGTAATTAGGTTCTGAACATTCTGCTCCTCTGCTTTTTGATTTGTATATAATGGGCAGTCGTTAGCAGCTCCTGACCAATCCAGCGTTTCGTTTAGTGCTTTATGTTTAATCTGAGAGTGTTGATTAGTAACTAGTTGGTAGCTACTGGATATAATTAACCTGACAATGGCTGCAGTTTAAAAATAAATAAAGTTATATATTAAATACCGAAATCCTGTCAATGGCTTCTATTTTCGGAGTTTCATTCATATAAAAAATTAGACAAATTAATAAGAGATTATTGAGACACAAAAATGTGATCAAACAAATATATGAACTCATTTTGTTCAAAAGTGATTTGAGTTTGGCCTTTGGAAATAGACGATTTAAATCGGTAAAGTTGTTTGGAGTGAGCTGAATGATTGAGATTCTCCTTAATAAAGTTGGGTAAGATGGCCATTACGTTTACGACTATTCATAGTAAATGCTTTACGACTATTCATAGTAAATGATGTAGGTGCGATGGCCATTACATTTATGGATCATTGGGATAAGCTGAATGCTTAACACCAATAAGTAGCACTTAATAAACTCAATAACAGCAAGGGGAAATTTTTTGGCTAATCATAACAGCCATGACGTATTGACGTTTATGGCTGATCATAACTCTTTCTTTATGTCATTCAGTTTTCTGTGTTTTTAAGTTTATTGCCTTTATAATTTACGAGTGTATGTTACAAAATGGTTACAAAACCACGAAAGGAGGGAGGTTGGACATTTGTTACATGAATGAATAATTTTATTTCCTGGATTAAAATCAACTCTTCAGTACTGTTGCTGCATCTTAGGATCATGTCTGGTAATTCATCTGTATCATCGTTTCATACCAGCGATGGTTTGGTGTCAGTGATAACACAATATGTTTCCCGACCAGTTGATTGACTCCTATGATTGATCCTTTGAAACCAATGAAGGATCACTATAAGTTTTTATTTTTTTGCTGGTTTATGGTTAGAGCTTGGCGTGGTTTTGCTGGTTTTTGATGATCACCTGTTTTTTGAGTTTCAAATTTTCGGTGCAAGATTGTATTTCGTCATTCAAAGGATAACAGTGGAATTTGGGACCTGGCCAAAATCTTCTTGACCATCATTAACAAACCATTCACACTAAACTGCGTCATCGATCACGTTGTTTTTTGTGTCTCAACTTTTTATACTTGATATATTTGTTGTCGTCTTTTGATGTTTATCATACATTGCTGTTGTGAACTAATGTCGAGTTCAAAACAAATGGAATGTCGAGTTCAAAACTGCGTCATCGATCACGTAAGACTGGTTCACACGTCTTAAAGGAACACCGTTAATCTTGAAAGGTCCTGAAATGACAAGAAACAACAGTGAGAAACACTCCAATACAGTGACACAAGGCAGAGGATATATAGGAAAAAAAACACTCATAGAAACTACCAATCCCAATCACCAACATGCACAGACAAGTGGCTCTCTTGTATTTACGTTCAAACACACTAACAAAATTAATCACTTTAAATACATATGTAAATAATGACCATTTTCCATGTGCTAAATGGCCACAGCCTCATAAAATTAACAACCACCACATCAGCCTGTTTTCCCTTGTAATCTATTTGTATTTAGTATTTAAGCCATCATCTAAAAAATTGAAATCAACCAGCAGAACAATTGACACAAGGAATAAGAACTAATAAATCAACCAGAACAATTCGACAATGAAGAACTGAAACAGATGAAACAATATTTAAGGAGAACAAGAACTTGCCAGTGACCAAAAGCAAGCCAGATGAAAGCTGCTTAAGGAACACAACTCTCTTCCCCATGAACCTCGCGGCAAGAATGATCAATACGGTACCAGGAGTAATGCTAGCTCTGCACAATAAAAAGAAAGAAAATACCTAAACATTATTACGTATCCAAAGAAGAAAACACACAAAGGTTACCACAACTCAAAAACTTACATGAGACTATACGAACCAGTCCAATTTAAAGTAACACTGAAAGTTAAAAATATAAAAACACATTTCCATCTCACAGTTTGTGAAATCTCAACGATTTAACCAAAACCCTAGAAAGTGACATCGGAATTTCGATAAATCCGATGAGATTTGAAAGAATCTTCAACGAAGTGACATCGGTGGACGATCTTCATGTTGTCGGGGACGCAGCCAAGGTGGCTAGGCATGGTTGCAGGCCATGCGTCATGGTGGTTTAGGGTGGTGACACCTTTTGGGTGTTGGGTCTGGGTTTTGGGCCTAGAGCCATAGCTCCAGTTTGGGTTCTTGGCTCAAGGGCCTATCGACATGGATGGGTGTTCAACGAATCCCAACAAATTTTTTTTTTTCAATTCAATTCAATGCATATAATTTAATGCATGAGCAATTATTTGATGCAATTCATGGCAATATCAAATTCACATAATTCAACAATTATATATATATATATAATGCATACATAATTTATGTAGAATATAAAATTCGAAAAACGTAAAGTTGGGTCATGTATTATGGTGAATGTTCATGCTCATGCTATCAAGGCTGCAAAATGGAAGAACATGTTTGCATGATGATATGGATGAACTGATTTGATGCAGAAAAAGCTTCCATGTCAGATTCCAAAGCGCAACGGTAGGAGTGTATTGATAACGTGTTGTAGCCTATTTACCTGATAAGGGGAAGGGGGCCGGTGGCAAGGAGAGAAAAAAGAGAGATGTGTTTGTAGAATTGTAGGGGAATGTGTGTGTTGAGGATGTTGTTATCCCCCCAATGCATTGCCTTTATTTATAATATTAAGAGGGAGAATAATTCCTTCATTCCCAAGGAATACAAGTCTATATAAGAAAGAATAATTAGAATAAAATCTAATCTAAGATTTACACAATCACACTTAAACTATGAAAGTTTACAACAGTTTCAATGCTAGAGATAGACTTTTTTTTTCCAGGAATTTACACTAAATTTAGCTTTTCTTTTTATTTTAATTTAAGGTCCACCTTCTCTCTTAAAGAAATTGATTAACGTCACGAAATTGCACAAATAAATAACAGTACCGTTAGATCGATCAGTTTTTTTGCATAATTAATAAATTATGTATATTATAAAAAATAAACACGTTAATTAGTACTAACAACAATGTCATATAATTTTTAAAAATTAGTCTAAATATTTATTCTCACTCGCATACCCAATAAATACATGCACTAAAGTAATCAAACGACTCTCTGCGGTAGAGATAAATTTTGTAACTAATTCTCTGCACTTCTTTAGGTAAAGTGAAATATGAGAACGCTTCTTGTTGTAGTTGTCTGGGACAGGTTTCATGTAAGGGAATTTATCATTAAAGTTGTCAAGTACCCCATAAACTTTACAAAGGGATTCAGGCAGGGCGCTTAGGTAGCGTTTGGTACGCAGACGGGACGGGACAGGACGGAACGGGACGGGATGGAACGGGACGGGACGGGACGGAACAGATGTTCTGCGTTATGTTTGGTACGCGCAGGACGGAACAAGACGGTTGTTCCGTCCTGCGTTTGGTAGCACATGGACGGAACGGAACCAAAAGATTAAAATGACTAAAATACCCATGTTCCGCTGTTGTTTGGTACAATTTTATGGGCGGAACGGGACATGACTCTTTTTTTTTTTTTTTTTTTTTTTTAAGTTGTTCAAATTTGAACACTATTATCCATTATTTGTTTTTCTTGGTCCAAATTTTAATAGGTATATGTTGTGTTTCAAATGCAAACCCCTTTAAAATTTGTAATTTTTTCCGTTTTCTACAACTCCATTCGAATTTTCACCACAAACCCATCAAATTTTATTGTGCAAATTGCAAAACCCACACCCCAATTCAATTTTTAGTCCCTAATTTTGGTCCTTTTATAATTTCCAAACCAATGTCTAGATTACTGCTTACCCATCTTAGTTTATAATCTTTACAGAATATAGCATAAACGCTGATGGTATAATTCTGATCAGAATTGACCAATCGTAAAGCCTTCCTGGCAAAAGGGGTCACACTGTACATATATTCTCCTATGGATTGGCAGGTGCATCACCAAGACACATCAAAGGAAAAAACAATTTGAAGCAGAATAATTTCATTGAATTTCATTGAATTTCCGTGTGGTCTCTCCTGGCAAAAGGGGTCTCTCCTCGCTACCATTCACCACAACCATATCAAGGTTCTTCCTGATTCCCTTCAACATTCGATCCTGCAACGCTTTTACCCTCTTCTCATCATACTCCATTTCCTTCTTCGCAATTTCGCAGGCCGCACCAAACCCTACCACCAATAGAGTCGGAACAGTTCCGCTCCGAATCCCTCTCTCCTGTCCACCTCTATTCATTTGGGGCTCCACCCGAATTCTTGGCCTCTTCCTCATGTATAAAGCTCCGATCCCCTTTGGCCCGTAAACCTTGTGCCCCGAAAGGGACATCAAACTCACATTCCATTTGTCCACATCAATTGGGATCTTCCCAAGCGCTTGAGCCGCGTCCGTATGGAATGGAATTTTGAACTCCTTGCAAATTTCCCCAATTTCCTCCATCGGCTGAATAACCCCAATCTCGTTGTTCACCACCATGACCGATACGAGGCCTGGGTGGTGATGACGTGGCGCTTCTTGTGGTTAGGGTTTGGCGGCGGCGGCGGCGGTGGAGAGGGTGCGGACGAAGTCGGAGGCGGTGGAGGCGGGTTTTGTGGTTAGGGTTTGGCGGCGGATGAGCAGGAAGGTTGCGAAGGGGAAAGGGATGAAGATGAGCAGGAAGGTTGTGAAGGGGAAAGGGATGCAGAGGTGAAGAGAAACGGCTGAGAAGAAGAGATTTTGTTTTTAGGGTTTGTTAACTGATTTTGAAGTTGTAAATTTTGAAAAAGACCAAGGGCATTTTTGTCTAAAAATATTGGAAATTTCTGTCCCACAGACGTGGAACAACCCGTTCCAGGGTGGGGGTGTGGAACAAAAAATCATCCAAAATCTGTTCCGTGGAACAGCGCGTTCCACTCATTTTAGGCGCACCAAACGCGGGACGGAACGCCTCGTCCCACTCTGTTCCGTCCCGTCCCGCGTACCAAACGCTACCTTAATTACTCTGTATTCTCGATCTCGTTAAATCATCACATACTATTAATGTTACGTTCTATTGTATATGAGCTAATTTGTTAGATCATTTTCAAAAGATATGTAAAAAATGTCACATAGACGTATAACAGTAACAAATAACCCATTATTTACTCCAACTGAGATGTCAAAACTAACGTAGAAAAAAAGGCTAAGCTGACATGGACAAAAAGATGTCAAATTTGAAGTTGTTTTCAAATAGGATAGACTAAATGTGTAGATTAAATTTTGGAAACTAAAAGACATGAAAGTTGATGATTGGTTTATCACTTAAAAGTTGATAAATATGCTCATTCTTATTGGTGACACATCATTAAGAGAACTGGAAGATGGTTGAAATGATGGGCTAGTAGTGCGGTTGAAAAAGAATACCACTTCAATAAAACAAAAAACTAAAGGAGCCCACCATACGACACCATTTCATTAAAAGGAACATTAAGTTTTATAACCAATAAATGACAATATCTACAAACCAAATCCTCGTAGCGCAGCACACCCAGATTCTAGCAGGTTCAGAAGATCGAAGGGCGGAATTCTCACTCTTTGTGGCAATTTCTGATGACTAGAAGGGCGTCTTCCCCTCCTTGTACCTCTGTAGCTTCGCAAGTCGTACACAAGTCTACTCTGCGGCTTCGGCCGAGAATGAATATGGCATCTTCCAACCTACTCTCGGAGAGTGTTGCACCACTCGTAGTTCCTAATACAATCTCATGTACTCGCTTCGACTGAAATAGGTATCATAAGCACATACGTTAGATCCAGTTGTACTCCCATTTCTGGTCCTAACCAGCCTTATCTAGTCCAAACTCTTTATTGTCTGCCACACGGAAACCTGGGCAAAATAGAGCATGTGGGTGACATGACACCCCACTGCGCGACAACGCTAACCTCAAGTGACTGTGTTAAATAGCTATGACATCTGAAGGAACAAGGTCAAGTGGATGAGTGACAAACTCCCCTTTTTACATGGGCCATCCATAAAATTACAAGTCCTCATAATGACTCCTTGTCACCTACAAATAGACGTCCCGACTCCTCACCAATGGTTAGACAATCTAAATTTATCCTATACACTTAATATACATTTCCCCGTCTTAGAGCCTACCTGACTTGATCATTAGAATGTCTACGCTAGAAACCACCCTCCCCAGTACTCTGCTTCATGATCCTTTATTTGTCTTTTTCTTTGCAAATCCTCTCATCTAATCTTGCGTAGAATTGGGTCCAACAATGACTAGAAGACTCCCCAAAAAGAAAAGGATGACGAAGCAGAGAAGGCTGTGAAACAGCCAACCCTCCATATCAATTGCATCTACTAGGATCAAAATACATCAGCTCGACAAGAAAAGAGCAGAAGATAGCTTGCAAAAAGCCCAAAATGGTCAGCTCTATAAGCAAACCATTCCCCATCGACGACAATATCATCATATTCTCAGATAGAGACCTAGAAGAGGTATTATTGGAACCAAATTCACACACCACCTTGTGTGGAAGAGATGCACACAAACTTGAGTACATGCAAAATAAGAAACAACTGTGAGCAAGTCTAAGACCAAAAAAGGGTGAGCTGGCCAAAAACTCTTCGACGGTCATGATAGTGAATTGTTGAGACTCAAGCAGTAGGTAAGAGAATTCAAGTATTAAGATTGCGCTACCAGAGATGAATCATAGATGTGTGTATTTATACCATTGAGAGAAATGCCTTTTTAGGATAGAATTCTAAGCTGGAAGAATCCTAGATGATATATAAGAATAGATATTGCACCCTCTTAGGAATTATGATTATTTGTGATGCATGCCAATTCCTAGATAGTAGGAACTCCAAGATTTATAGGATTTGATTAAGTCCATATCTGGATCAAATTGCGTTTCTTGCGAAACAAGTATGGTCATCAAGCAAAGTTGCTCGAACTTCGCTGATCAAAATAGGGTGATGGTGCCACCGTCTATTCTGTTGATCCAGCTCCTCTTGGAGCTCTCGAGTCCATGACCGAACTTCTGAGGTAACAATATTCAAATATGTCTTACTATGGCCTTGGAAAATCATAGTACCACACTGGCCCAAGCACTGCTTGGATTGGCAGATCCGCAAGAAGGATGAGAATGCCTGAAGCCCATGGAGCATAATTCAACAGACTAGGCTTAACTCCTATTAAAGATATTACTTGTCTCCCAAGTAAGAAAACCCATTTAAGGTCAAATTAGGATATCTTGGGAATTAAGCAATGTAATTATGATTCTTGGAGGACTGGGTATCTTATCCTAGATTTCCTTATAGATAGTCTCCCGATTTGATGAAGATTACTTTCCTTACAAGGACTCTCAATATCCCTATGAATACTTTAGGCTGGGTATTTATGAAGGGGACATTGATCTTTCTCTCTCGAACTTCTACACACATATTCTCTCTATGCCTGGTAAAAGAGGCATGTATGCCGCCGTCTACACATAGACACATCCATGGAGAACTTATCTCCATAACGCATCGCCATAAGCTATTCGTCAAGGCTGGTTTACACCATTAGTCCTCCAAACTACACATGTGGTGTAATTCTCCTTCTCGAAGATACGTAGGTAGTCCTATTCGGATTCAAGAACACCCCCCAATCAATCTCATTCTCCCCTAGTGAGCAATCATGGGCATGTCCAATTAGATATTGCCTTCGTCTGCGGATGTGTGCGAATTCGGTTCCAACGTTTACAATTTTTTTGACTTTTTGTAGTATAATTGTATGAACAATTTTTTTGGGTTTTAAATGTTATTTTTCTGTTCTTGAAATCATTATTCTTTTTTTTTTTTTAATTTTAGAATTAAATACATTATTTAATAGTTTTATTTTTTTTAATTAAAAAATAATAATACTTGGCTCGACGAAGGCATCATCGTGTAAATCGTTACTCAGTAGCTTTTGCTCGACGGCTGTGCCATCGGGCTAAGCTCACCACATTATTTAATTATGTCCTAGCAAACTAGGTTGATTTCGTTGGGTACTCTCGTCCAACAACGGATTTCATCGGGTTAACGCTAGTTTACCCAACATAATAGTTTATCCACCGTATAAGTCCTCGCGCAATGAGTTTTACTTGACTATTCTTTGCCGACAGACCTCCGTCGGTTAAAATTTCCGACGAAGCCAACGAAGCATTTTCGACTGGTAAAGTGTTTTTTTAGTAGTGATAGTTTATTTTCTGTGTACAAATAAAAATAATAATTTTTGACACTTACAAGGTGTCATTGACCATATTGTTTATGTTGTCAAACAAAACGAGCTGTTATTTGTACTCCAACAAATCATCTTACACTGTTTCAATTTATTTATTTTCCATTATATTGTTATCATCAAAGAATAGATGATGAGTTCTTTTGAAGCGAAAATAACAATTTTGCTAAAAAGAGTTGTTCACTAATGAAAGAGGGTAATGAGTTCCACAGTTCCATTTTTCCTTTAATGCATTCCACTATTTTTGTATCCTAATTCTTATATGCTTTACTCGTCTTTAGGGAGAAAAGGAGATTGGAAAACACTTGCCATTTTTCATGAAAGAACTTGGCACAGTTAGATCAACCACCCCGTGGAATTCAAGTGAGGGTGGTGGTCAATTCTATAAACGAACAGGTAACTGTATGATCATCCTCTTTGAAATCGTAGTTCTCTTCCCCCTAGAAATGTAAGTTCTTGCGAATAATGATGTCCTTGATTTCAATGAGCAATGTTTTATCATTGTCAACTGTCGAGAATTAATGATGTAGGAAAACTAAAAACATGCATGCGTGAATGGAATTATATATCAAGTTTCAATGGGCATCAATGAAGTTGAGTCTATATATGAAAAGACCTGCTCAGTTGTTGTATGAGTCTATAAGAAAATGATTTGCACAATTATTATTTTTTGGAACTGTTATTAGCACTCCAAAAATCTTATTCTACACTCCTTACAAGTGTATTTTTCTTTCTAATTATAGAAAGTTTGGAGTGTGAAATGAGATTTTTGAAATGTCAAAAATAATTCTTTTTTTTCCCGGTATATCCTAAATTTACGTATTATGAATCTCTTTCAATTTATTTAATTTAAAGACGGTAAATAAAAACTGTGCAGAAATCAGTTTTTGAGTCCAAACTCAAAGCCTTCCCAACAGAGAATGCAACTAAAAATGCATGTTGACCCCCAATCCCAAATCAAGAAAGAAGCTTCTAATGGAGGAAGTTGTGGAGCCATATCAACAAACTATTAACACTAAATGAGGAATGTGGGACTTGAACTTTTTAAAAGTACATATTCAATATTTGAGGGTTCAAAAAGCACTAAGGCCAAAACATCATTGCACAAAAGAAAGGCAAACCCTTTGAAGTTCTGACCAATGTGGGGTTTTCAACCCTAATTATTTGTGCGAATGTGACTATAAGTGGGAGGTCACTTTCCATTCAAGGCTTTCGTTTGTTTTGGTAAAATGGCATATGATGATATGATTACACTTTGAGAGCTTAACCTCATTTCAGCCATTTCAATTGCATGTGAAGTTGAACTCATAAGATTTTCGTCTTTGCGGCCAATGATGAATGTAACTTTGTGTCCATGTGTGAACAATTCTTTCCTGAAACCGGGTTCTCTCCTCTCCAATTTTTCCTACCCTCCAATACCCTCCTTTCATTGCTAGTCGTTCAAAACATTTCCTTGTCGATTCAATGCTAAATATTACGCCACGTAGGCAACAACAATCCTCATACTTCATTAAACGCAAACGACGACGCTTGCAGACCCCAAAAAGCGTCTTCTCCGTGCTGCCTCCCCCCTCTCTCCTCTCTCTGGAATTGCCTCCGATAAATGCTCTTAAACAAGCTTCCCAATAAAGCCAATCTTATATGCATGTTACGTACGTAATGAATGTTGTTGAGACAAAATAATACGCAAGCGAGCAGTGGCGAAGCTAGGATTTCTCGGGAGGAGGGGCGAACTTAAAAAAATGCAAGGTTAAAGAAAAATGTCAACAACTAAATCTTTTTACATAGTAATATCTTCCATAATTAATCAATACAAACAAATTACAATTGTTGCTGGTGAGGTTTCATGTCATGAAAACGTCGCATAATAGGCTCATTATCAATAAAAGCAAATACATATTTCTCAATGTAAACATGCATGCTATCACTCAATCATTGATCTTCCATTTTGTTACGCAATGGTGTTTTCACAATCTTCATAGCAGAAAAAGCTCTCTCCACCGAAGCGGTTGCAACTGGTAACACCAAAGCCAATGTAAGAAACTTATACACTAACATATAGCTTTCACACCTCCCGGTCTTCACTAACTCTTTTGCAAGATCACTAATTCCTCTCAATGTTGAAAACTCACAATACATCTTCATATCATGAATGTAATTGTCAAGTTGAATTGGAAGATTCATAAGGTCCATACGATCAAAATCTTGAGGATAAAGTTGGGCTAAACGAACAATTTTTGCTTTGTCAAACGATGCAAAATTATTCACCGGACTCAAACATGCCATACAAAGAAGTAACTCGGTGTTTGCCTCATTGAAGCGATCAAGGACTTGAAAATAGAGATCCACACGATAGTAATGGAAGTTTGTGATTTTTGGAGCTTTACGACTTGATTTTCCAGGTACAAAATGCAAATCCTCCATGTTAGGTACGAAAATATCATGCTCCTCACAAAACCTTTATACATCATGAAACAAGTCCCCAAAGTCATCATCTCTCAATGATTGTAGTCTTTGCTTGCATACTTCCACTAACGCCATCGCATTCACAATATCTTAATCTTTATTTTGCAATGCTTATGATAACTCACTTGTAATTCTCAATATAAGTCTCATCAAGAAAAGGTGAAATGCAAAATCAAAAGTTTGTATGTCTTTGAATAACCTAGTTGCTTCATCGAGATTATCTTGGTTGCGATCATTTTTAATCCATTCAACCACCTCCACCACGGCTTCAAACATAACAATAATACTATCTATAGTACCATAATGCGAGTTCCACCGTGTATCACATGGACGCATGAGACTACTTTCTTGATTTAACCTTTTACCTGTTTCAAGATTACCAAGATCAAGAGCTTTCTGAATTTGTTCTTGTTGTTTCTCTTTAAATGCATCATGACGCTTACACGATGATCCAACAAGATTCACCAAACTACTAGCATTGATGAAGAAATTGGCACCATCCTCATTTTCCTTTGCCACGAATACAAGAGCTAGTTGGAGTTGGTGTGCAGAACAATGAATATAAAATGTTTGAGGGTATTTGTTCAAAATCTTTGTTTTAAGACCATTTAACTCACCTTTCATATTACTAGCACCATCATAGCCTTGTCTTCGTAACTTGGACATACTCAAATTTGTTGTAGCAAACAATCTCTCAATGGCCTCTTCAAGGGAGCTACTAGTTGTAGAGGAGACATGTTGAACACCCAAAAACTTTTCAATTGCTTCTCCTTTTTTGTTCACATAACGCAATACCACTGCCATTTGCTCTTTAGTTGAAGAATCATGTGCTCCATCAACCAAAAGAGAAAAAAACGCACCTTCCATATCTTTAGCGATTGCATTCACAGTTTCAATGGCACAAGCACGAACAAGATCTTTTTGAATATCGGAAGAAGTATACTTAAAGATTCTTGGGAGCATTCTCAAACACAACCTATCTAACTTGTTCATTATGCTTGGAAAGAAATTGCATAAGCTCCAAATAATTACCCCTATTGCTTGATTTCAACGATTCATCGTGGCCACGAAAAGCAAACCTTGTCTCAACAACCATCTTGTGCACTTAAGTGAGGCACTCAATAAAGTACGATAATTAATGCAAGCTTCATCGGTTTGCTTAATTACAAATGTTTCAATGTGTTGTTTTTGTGTCATCAAATCTCTAGCTTGTTGTACAACCTTATTATGAAGACTTCCAACACCTCCCTCATGGACTCGAAGGTTTTCGGGTCCTTTCTTCCAATTTGTAAACCCTATCTTAGTGAAGACATCACTTCCAGTGCTACCCATTTGATCAAAATCATATTTGAAAAGATAACAATAATGGCAAAATGCAGCATTTTTTGATATACTATACTCCAACCACTTAAACTTATCAAACCAACCGATGATAAAACATCGATTGTCACTAACCTTTCTTGGCATGATGTGGTCTCTAGGTTGACAAGGATCAATTTGGAGATAGTGTCTACGAATTGCTTCACGATAATTAGGTGGATAATCAAGCATTAGACGTCTATGCGCAGGGTCTGCAGGAAGATTAGCCAATATCCAACTTAGTGGCCTCACTTTGTTGTGACCTGCTCGGAATATTTGAAGGATGACTTCTTGGAATATTTGAAAGAGGATGAGGACTACTCAGAATATTTGAAGGAGAAGAACTATCCGAAATGTTTGAAGGAGGATTTAAGCATTGTTTCTTATAGTATCGTTCCATTAAGTAAATGTAAAATGGAAAGAAAAAAAAATCTTAGACTCTCAACTAATCATATTCATATGAATACAACTAATCAATTCAACTAATCATCAAGAATTCAAATTTAATTTTCACCCTAAAGAATAATTTCATAATTTCATATCAATAATCATAGAAGCATATGATTCACATCAATAATCAATAACCAATAACCATATTAGTGCATTACCATATTATTCTATACCAATTAAACGAAATTCGTATTAAATAATTAATTAGGGTTAGGGATTATACATTTAGGAATTAAAAAATTTACCTTTAAAGAATGGAAGCCGACGGCTCAGTGGCTAGAGAGTGGCTTGTGAGTTGTGATGGCAGCAAGAAGCCAACGGGAACAGAAATTGAAAACCTTTCTGTTCCATTGGTGTTGGAACTTGGTTGGCTGCTGCTGGGATTTTGGGAGTAGCGGGACCTCACCTCTCCGTCTAATTGGTGAATGGGTTACGAGAGGGATTGAAGAAAGTAGGGGAAACGGGTGGGGGACAAGGCGACACGCACACGGTCCCCACTATATATATATTTTTTTTCAAATATCTAAAACAACATCTTTTCACTTAAAAATCAAAACGACGTCGTTTTGGCCTGGATTTAAAAAAAAAAAAAAAAAAAAAAAGGCCAATCTGCTGCTGCTGCGCAGCAGAACAGATAACCCAACACCGTCGGCAACAAAACAGAGGATGAACCAGTGGGTTTTCCGGCGAGGGGAGTGGCAAACCCAGATCTCCATTGCTGTTTCCTGGCAAGGGGAGTGGCGGACGCCACTCCTCACCCTCACGTGGCTTCGCCACTGCAAGGGAGTGTAAAAAAATAATAATGAATCCATTCTCAACTATTAATATAGCATGGCCCTAAGGTCAAGGTGCTACTCATTGCTTATGGTGTTCCAACGTTAGCAGAGAAAATGGAACAAGGTATCCATCTATTCGTATGGAAAATGTTACCTTGGCCAATATTGAAGGCACAATAATTAAACAAGATATCTCTATATATTGATTTAATAATAGGGCAATCATTGAGTCATAATTGGTAGGTACAATTATAGTAATAATTTAAAATTTTGAGTAAGGTGGAGGTTCAATTTATTTGCCAAATTTTTTCGTCTAAATAAAGAAAAATGTTAAAGATATTTTCTTAAAATAGAAATTTTTGATGAATTTTTTGGTGCCTCACATTTTAACGTTAATTTTTGTATTAATATTATAAAATATTATGTAAAAAATATAATGTTGTAGAAAGTCCCACTTTTGACAAGTTCTCTTTAGGATTTCTTCAATTAAAACACATCGTTCTTTAATTTTGAGATATATTGATGAATGTAACTAAATGGGTAGTATCAAGGGACAAATATTTGCTTTGTTCAAAGTCTTTAGATCAATTCAATGACCTCAAATACAAGGTAAGATGACATTAAAAATTTATTATCTGACTTGGCTATAGATAAATGACTTTCAGCTAAGCAATACAATTTGAGAAAATAATATTGCAAAAATGTTATTTTTACCTCATTTTTCATATTACATTTGTATGAGACCTACATATGTTGGTAGGTCATACCTCTATTAGAAATGTGGTACAAATGTTGTATGAAAGTGTAGTAAGTGCAACACATTACTCATAATATTGTGGAGATTAATTTTTATTTCAAGAGGATTAGAAGGGGATTGAAATGAATAATTTTTCTTCCTGAGTAATCTATTTCTTAATTTCCTTCAAGTTAGTCACCAATTTTTTGTTTATTCTTTCAACATACCTAAAAAAACAGTGGCGTATTCATTCTAATTCCATGGTCTATGCTAAATTTAGCACTTATTATCTAATATCTAGTGCTTCATCATCACTTCACTGCCTAAAATGAAGATTGACTGCCTTTCAACATACCTAACAACAACCGCTTATTCATTGTAATTCAATCATCTATACTAAATAAGCCCTTATTGTCGAGATCTTCATAATCACTTCACTGGCTAAAATGAATCGTGTATACTAAATGAGGTCATATTGTCTAGTGCTTCATAATCACTTCACTGTCTAAAATGATGATTGATTGATGTGGAACATGGGCATGACAAAGACTAGTTTCTTGGAAATTAATAAGGATATTTGATACGTAATAATAATATATAGAGCTATCTTTCTTTCTTTCTTTCTTTCTCATTTTAACACAGATAGTCTTATTCACACATTAATTTTTATTTTTCACACATCTTTTAATTTTTGACTATAAAATCAAATAAATTGAAAAAAATTAATAATAAAAAATTAACGTAGAAGATAAAACCTGTGTATGTAAATTTCACTTTCCTTTTAACACCACATGGATAATTGATGTGGTAGTGTGATTGACATTGACAACAAAAAGAAAACTAGGGATTCAAATCTTTTTACTAACTCCTGGGTTTTTGTGAATTTCACTGTCCTTTTAACACCACATGGATAACTGATGTCATAGTGTGATTGACATTGACAACAAAAAGAAAACTAGGGATTCAAATCTTTTTTACTAATTCCTGGGCATTTGGGGTCACTGTCAGGAGGTCGACTTTGCGTGATCTATCTATCTGTGGATTATTTCAAAAATATACACAGCAAGCGCAATGATGGAGGATGAACGTATTGAAACAAATTGTAGGCCTTCGTGCAATAGTAAGCAAAAGAAGGAATACGACACGGAAAGTTGTTAAACAAGTGATTTTTCCTCAGAGGCTGTAAGAATGTAATGAGGATCCTCTTCGGATCCTTAGGGATTCTTAAATTGTGTTTGTTTATTATATATCGTGCATTTATAAATTATTTTAAATATTTTTATTTAAAATTAAATATAAATAGTATATGACGAAAACTTACTGTACAATGCACGATAAACGGACATGATTTGAGGATCCTTAGACCATCTCCAACCGAAGGGTCCAGAGGGCTAAAGTGTCGAAAATAGCCCGAAAACCGTCTCCAACCGAGGGCTAGGCCAAAGGGCTCGTGGGTCCCATTGGACAAAAAAGGCCAAAGGGCCAACCAGCTGGCCCAACTTAGCCAGCCAGCCTCGGGTCGGGCCAGAATTTTCATTATTCCTATCAGTTATATCCGACAACATTGAACTTATTTCTGTTGGTTATATCCGACAGGAATCGTAGGCCAAAATTTCAAATACAATGGCTAACTAACGTCAACTTTTTTTTTTTTTTTTTTTCACAAAAATTTTTTTAAATTGTTTTTTTTTTTAAATTCTATTTTTTTTTTCCCTATAACTTCCTAAGTCATTATACAACATTAAATTAAATTAAGTGACATGAAACAACATTAAACAATATGAAACAACATTAAATAACATTAACCAACATAAAAATTATACAACATAAAAAAAAACATTTAACAACATGAAACTTAAACAACATTTTTAAAAACATTTAACAATATAAAACTTAAACACCTACTCCATGCTTCTTTTGGCCCAAAGATGTGCAACAAGATCCTGTTGTAGGTACTTGTTCGTAGCACGGGAACGTATCATCCTATAGCGCGTCATGTACTCATCTATAAAGATACTACCAATTCTTGGATTGAAAGGCAAATTAGGCCCATCATATATTTTTGCACGAGCCCTTCTTAACCTATTTGGACCCTCTTGGTCGTCATCAGACTCTCCATCAATATACTCATCTCGCTCATCCTCCACAATCATGTTGTGTAATATGATGCAAGGTATCAAGATGGAATCCAAATTTTCTTGACTTCACCCTCTTGCCGGTTCCTTGATGATGTTCCACCGTGCTTATAGAACACCAAAAGCTCTCTCAACATCTTTCCAGTATGCCTCTTGGTGTAGGGTAAAACACTTTTCGACGTCATTTTTAGGGTTTGGAATTGCTTAGACAAGTGTTGCCCACTTTGGATAGATGCCATCTGCCAAGTAATACCCCATATTTTACTGACGACCATTGATGTAGTAGTCAAGTTGAGGTGATTTACCTTCCGTTAAGTTATTGAAGAGGGGTGAACGTCCAATAACTGTAATGTCATTTTGGGATCCAGGGACTCCAAAGAAAGCATGCTAGATCTATGTGTCATATGAGGC